CTCCCCGGCCTCATCTCGCAATCAGGTCACGGGGGTGGGCGCAGACCCCCGCCCCGCCCGCGGCACCGAGCGAGGCACCCCCGGGGCTGCACCCGGCACCCGGAGCCGCCGCTCCGTGCCCAGCACCCCCCGCCCTTGAGGGCGCCCCGGGCAGGATCGGAGCCGGCGCTGCCGGAGGGAGAGGCCACAAGTGCGATGAGCGGCGCGTTCTCGGCGGCACCGGGCGGGGGGTGCCCGCGGCGGTGGCGGGGGGCACCGAGGGGCGCTGGCGGGGCTGGCACGGCCGCGGTGCCCGCTCTGGGTGGGCAGCGGTGCCCGCTGAGCGCGGCCGTGCCCGGAGCGTGCGGGCACACTCGCCCCGGTGGCGCTGGCCGGTGCCCGGTGCCCCCCCCGATCGGTGCCCGGTGCCCCCCGGGCGGCCTCACCTGCTCCTGGATGAGCTGCAGCAGGGAGCTCCTGTCCATGCACCCGGCGGGCTGAGGGCTCCGCCGCTCCCCCGCGCCCGGGGCCGGCGAGCCGGGCAGGGGAGCGGCGCGGGCGGCGGGGGCGGCGGCGGGGGCGGCTCTCCCCGCCAGCCCCGCGTTGCGGCGGGCCCGGCAGCGAGCGGCGAGCGGCGGCGCCGGGAGCCGCCGATGGCAGCGGGGCGACGGCGGCGGCGGGGGCGGGAGCGGAGCCGAGCGGAGCCGCCCCCGCCGCAGCGCGCGGCGCAGCGCCCCCCCCTCCCCGCACCCCCCGCCGCCGCCGCCGCCGCCGCCGCGCGGGGAACCGGGACCCGCCCCGCCCCGCCGGCAGCGCCGGGACACGGCCACGGCACCGGCAGAGAGCCCACACCGCGATCACAGCCTGAGATGGGGCCGGCATCCCGGTACGGCTGCGGGCATCCCGGTACGGGAACCTGCATCCCGGTACGGGAATCTGCATCCCGGTATGGGAACCTGCATCCCTGTACGGGAACCTGCATCCCCGTACAGCTGTGGGCATCCCAGTATGGGAACCTGCCTCCCGGTACGGGAACCTGCACCCGGTATGGGAATCTGCATCCCAGTATGGGCACTCACATCCCAGTATGGAAACCTGCATCCCAGTATGGGGAACCCGCATCCCAGTATGGGAACCTACATCCCGGTAGGGGAACCTGCATCCCAGTATGGGAACCTACATCCCGGTAGGGGAACCTGCATCCTGGTACTGGTACCCACATCCCAGTATGGAACTGCTCCTGGCATGATAGCTGCTTCCCAGTGTGGTATCTACATCCCAGTATGGGCACTCACATCCCAGTACTGGTACCCACACCCTGGCCCAGTTCCTGCCTCCCAGAGCAGCTCCGTGCATCCTGCTGTGGGCGCCTGCATCCTGCTCCGTGTCCCAGCACTGATGGGACCTGGCTCCTGGTGAGAGTGTCCCTACATCCCAGCACTGGGACTCACATCCTGGTGTGGGACCTGGCTCCTGCTGTGATCCCTGCATCCCAGCACAGGGTCTGCACCTGGAATGGGAACCTGCATTCCATTTCCAGTACTGCATCCCACTACAGGTACATGTATTCCTGTACCCACATCCTGGTACCTGGCTTTGCAGCTGCACCCTGTGTGAGGAATCCATATCCTGGTACAGTACCAGCATCCCAGAATGGACACCAGTGTCCCAGAATGGACATTAGCATCCCAGGATGGACATTAGCATCCCAGAATGGACACCAGTGTCCCGGGATGGACACCATTGTCACAGGATGGACACCAGCATGCCAGCACCAGCTGCCTGCTGAATCTGGCACAGATTGCAAACATTCCCTCCATCCTGTCCCTGACGCCCAGGCCAGCACAGCCCGGGTACACCCCCCATGGCACAGGGATCACGGAGCCTCCAGTGCTGTCCCCTGCCCGGGCACAGTGCTCATGGACAGCCTGGCACTGGGTCCCTGGAGCTGGCACCGCTATGGGACATGCCCATTGTCACCCAGGCCAGGCTCCCCTGGGTCCCCAGCAGGGCAGGGGTGTCCCCAGGACCCATCCCTGGTACTGTCCCCACTTCCCAGAGCCGTGTCTCAGCCCCACTGAGGTGCCCGGGGAGCTCTGGGCTGCCCAGCCCCGCCAGACCCTTCCCTGGGGTCCCACGGCCGTGCCAGGCGTGTGCCCAGCCCCACACCCGCGTCTGTGCCAGCACAGCGCCCGTGCCCGCACAGCAGAGCTATGAATACCCAGCAGGGCACGTGGGCCCGGCTCCCGGGGGATCCAGCCTGGTTTGGAGTCACCAGGGAGCCCCGCGTGTCCCGTCCGCCTGCACCGCCTGCTCTGCCCGCACGGCAGCGGCGCTGTGTCCCCACCGTCCCTGTCCCGGCTGTGTCCCCACCGTCCCTGTCCTCTGGTTGTGTCCCCACCGTCCCTGTCCCGGCTGTGTCCCCACCGTCCCTGTCCTCTGGTTGTGTCCCCATCGTCCCTGTCCCGGCTGTGTCCCCATCTCCCTGTCCCGGCTGTGTCCCCACCGTCCCTGTCCCATGGCTGTGTCCCCACCCTCCCTGTCCCCTGATTGTGTCCCCATCCTCCCTGTCCTGGTTGTGTCCCCACCGTCCCTGTCCCGGCTGTGTCCCCACTCTCCCTGTCCCGGCTGTGTCCCCACCGTCCCTGTCCTCTGGTTGTGTCCCCACCGTCCCTGTCCCCATGGCTGTGTCCCCACTCTCCCTGTGCCAGCTGTGTCCCCACCGTCCCCGTCCCCCTGGCTGTGTCCCCACCGTCCCTGTGCCCGGGCTGGCCCTGTGGGAAGGGTCTCCTCTGCCACCCCACAAAGATCCCCCCCATGTGGGAGCAGTCCGATCCCATCCAGTGCACAGGCTCTGGAAAATCCTTTTCTCCGGCTGCGCCCACATTCCCTGTGCCCAGCGCCTGTGGCTGAGGCAGGGACAGAAATAGCTGAGGGAAAAGCTGCCACGGGAAAACAGGAGCAGGGAGGGGAGGTGGCACAGCCCTGGCAGCTGCAGGTGCAGGGGGAAGGTGACTGCAAGGAAATGGGGAGCCCCAAACCCCACATGGATGGGCACAGAGATCATCACAGCTCCCAGGGCAGCCAAAGCTCCTGCTTCCCACGGATCCTGAGCAGAGAACCACGGGATCCATCACCTCCTCCCCTGGCTCTGCACCCTGGCTGGCACTTGTATGAGGTGTCCCCAAGCACCAAGGAGTCCTGGCCAGCCCCAAGCCCTGTCCCACCACACCAGGCCCTGAATCCCTGTCAGTGCCCCCAGACAGGGCAGCCCAGGCTCTCAGGGTGACCCTGCTCCCCCTGCCTGGGCGACAGGGACAGGGGTCCTGCTCCCCAGGGGACACAGGACACAGTGTGCAAGCTCAAGGTGTGTAAAAATTTATTTTGCTGTAGAGAACAAACCTAAAACATTACAGCTCCAGCAGATGTGGAGCAGGGAGACACCAACACCAGGCACGGGCCCGGCTGGCAGAGCCACGCACGGTGGGCACAGAGGAGGACATTGAGCACGAGGGATTGGCCCTGGCAGTGCCAGGAACCAGCACTGAGCGTGTGCCCGACTGGCAGAGCAGCTCCAGCACAGGCAGGGACACACAGCTGGCCAGAGATGGGGACAGCAGGATGGGGACACCACCCTGGGACTGTCCCAAGGAGAGACACTGGCACTGCCCAGCGATTCCTGCATCCCCTCGCTGGTTCCAGGCCACCATAAAACATTTAAATAGACAAAACACAGAAAAAGCAGCTCTGGTGCTACCTAGGATCTGCCCCTGCAGCTGCCTGGAGAGTGACCCTGAGCGTGCTGGGGAAGGCCAGGTTGGCGACACGGCCAGGCTGGTGGCATGGCCAGGCTGATGGCACGGCCAGGCTGGTGGAATGACCAGACTGGTGACACTGCCAGAATGGTGACACTGCCAGGCTGGTAACATGGCCAGGCTGGTGGCACGGCCAGGGCTGATCCAGGCTCCCCAGGAAGCCAGGGATGGTGCTGGTCTGGCTCTTTGGGACCTGCAGACAGGGACTGAGCTCAGTCCCAGCAGATGAAACCAGCTCAGGTGTGGGCAGAGGACAAGGGACAGGACAGGAAGGAGTTTCCAGTGGTGCCAGGAGATGCAATGCCCAGAGTCTCACGCTCTGGACAGGGCCCCACAGAGGGGACAGCAGGGCACAGGGCTTAGGGCACAGCGTGGCACCAGCTCAGTGATGGCACTGCCAGGGACAGACCGGGCACACAGTGGGCACCCAATGCCCTCCCAGTCCTCACCAGGGCTCCCAGAGCCCTGCAAACACTGCTGGCCACGAATACTAGTGGCCAGGGGTGGGGAGGGGATGGGCCAAACAGAAGCCAGGAAAGGAGAATGGATGGACCCAGAGCCTGGCACGCTGCAGGACTCACAAGATTTTTGTGTAGAAAGGAGCTCAGGACAAACGCTGGTGGTCACTGTCCCCCCTCAGGCCAGGAGAGCAGCCCCTGTGGCCCAGCAGGAGGGGCCAGGCTGACCCCTCACACTGGGCTGGGGGTGTCAGTGTCCGGCCCTCCCTCCCTGGCTCCCTGTGCCGGTGCTGGCTGAGGGAAACCGGGACAGGATCTGGAGCTGAGCCCCAGGGAGCTGCAGCCGTGAGCTCATCTGACAGCTCAGCTGCTGCCGGAGCTCCCCGGGGCCCCGGGAGCGCTGTGCCCTCCAGAATTGAGGGCACCAGCACAGCCCTCAGGGGAGGGGATGTGCCCAGTCCAACAGACACTGAAACACTCGTGTTTGAGCTTAAAAACAAGCCTTAAAAAAACTGAACAGAATAAAAGACGAGGGTGATCCTCCAGCTGCTGGTGAGGCAGAGCTCTCCTGGCAGAGCTGCCCACGGGGGCCAGGAGGCCACAGGCTGAGGCTGCCCGGTGCCAGGGCTGATCCTGCTGGTGCTGCGGGGTCTGGCTTCACTGCTCCTGCAATCCAGGCTGGGGGCAAAGGAGGATTTCCTACCGGGGCCAGCTTGAGGCGGGGCCCCTCCGGGCGTCGCTGGGGACGGGAGCGGGGCGGGGCTCTCACTTGTTCTTGGCCAGCAGGCGGTACAGGGTGAAGCCCACCAGCGCTGTCACCGCCGCCCCCAGCGCCACCCGCAGCCAGAAGGACGCGACTCCCAGCTCCACGGCGTTCAGGTGCCTGCAAGCAAACACAGGAGAGAGGAGAGGCCGGTGAGTGCGGCTGTCCCGGTGCTCCCACCCCACACAGGGAGTGCCGGGGGTGAGCCCAGTGAGAATCTGAGATTCCCCATGCCTGCAAAGCAGAGCACTCATCACCCAGCATCACCACCAAGCCAAGGGGGGGCTGTGGGATGGATGTGGCTGTCCCCTCCCCTGCCCTGGAAACAGCTCTCCAACACCTCAATAATTAGACAGGTATCTGCCTTTCTAGGTCAGGCTGCCTTTGCAACTCCCCGGGATGCCACCACGGGGACACTGGTGACAGGGACCAAAGGGCAGCGAGGGACAGGGCCTGGAGCTGCCCCAGTGTACACATCCCCTCCCCTAGCACGTGCTGTCCTGCACTAACAGCTCCTCTCCTCTCTCTGCCTCCATCCATAATTCATTCCCCACTACATCGGGGGAGCACAGCCAATCCCCGGCCCTCCATTACGCTGTTATTTATTTATACCACATACCCTAAGATATATTAAGAATATTTAAATTTTAATACTGCAGAGGGGAGGGGAAAAAAAAAAAGCGTCAGCTCTAAAAATAAAGTTGTTTATTGAAAAGAAGCTGGAGGGAAAACTACTCACTAGTAATCCCATCCTGCCTTCCAACGCTCCCACACGCTCTCCCCGCCAGGGCTCGGCCCCTGGAGCTGTGCTGGCCCTGCCCAGCCCTGGAGCAGTGATTCCACTCTCAGGGAGCCTCCTCTCTCCCCAGAGCCCCCCTCAGCTCCTGTGACCAGCCTGGTGCTGTCCTACCCCATTCCCAGCCCCTCTGGGGTGCAGTTTCTCTGTGTGACAGAGGTCTGGCTTCACTGACCTCTTTTCCAGCCTGATCCATCTCATCGGGAGAAAATAGCTGCCACCCCCCCCCGTGGGCCTTGGCAAAATAAGCTGGCTACTCCTCTTCAGCATTCTTTATCTTAGGCTTCAAAAATAAACACTCCTGTGGCAGGATCTATCTACTAAATCTGCCAGAGACATACACACAGGCAGAAGAAAACCTCCCCCCTCTGCAATTAGGGAAGAAGTGGCTTTTCTGTTTCAATTATTTGTATAAGCAGATCACAGAATCACAGAATCCTAGAATGGTTTGATTGGAAAGGAACATTAAAGCTCATCTCATTCTACCCCTGCCATGGCAGGGACACCTCACACTGTCCCAGGCTGCTCCAAGCCCTGTCCAGCCTGGCCTTGGGCACTGCCAGGGATCCAGGGGCAGCCTCAGCTGCTCTGGGCACCCTGTGCCAGGGCCTGCCCACCCTCACAGGGAACAATTCCTTCCCAATATCCCCTCTAATCCTGTCCTCCTTCAGCTTAAGGCCATCCCCCCTTGTCCTGTCACTGCATGCCCCAGATGACACCAAAAGCTGCAGAGAAACCAAAGCAAAAGCAATGTGGCAGAGGCAGGGCTGGGACACAGCCCCCCATGGGAAGGATACTGACGGGAAGGTGGCAGCAGTGGCCAGTTTGGTGTAGACAGCAGTGCTGGGTGGTCCCTGGCTGTGGCAGGAGAAGGGGAAGGGTGGAGGGAGGCAGTGCTTGTAGCAGAACTCAGCTGGGAAGAGCCCTGGCTGCTGGCTGGCTTCTGGCAGGTCTGTCTTGGAGGCCACGAACACACAGGGGATCTGGCTGTCCACGTAGTGTTGCTGCAGAGACAGAAACCCCAGCGAGGGGTTAGGGACCAACCCCAGGAGAGGCTGATGTCCCCTGTGCCCCTGGTGAGGTCTAACAGGACCCCTGGGTTGCCCAGGACCCCTGTGAAGGCCCCCAGGGTCCCTGCCAGGTACCTTGTAGATGCTGGCACAGTAGCTGAAGGATTTGGGGTCGCTCAGGCTGTAGATGAAGCAGGCGACGTCGCAGGCGGTGTCCGACGGCTTGGAGAAGGTGCTGTCAGCACTGACCTCGGACAGCTGCAGCACAGGGGACAGCAATGTGGCAGTGCAGCTCCCAGGGCTCAGCTGCTCCTCACAGCAGCACAAGGACAGTGCCAGCACAGGCACAGGCACAGGCACAGCCCAGCCCCATGTGCCAGGGTATGGGGACAGCCCAGCCATGCTAAGAGCCAGGCACAATTGCCTGCCCTCCCACACTTACTATGAGGTACTTCTCCTGGCCATTGACCTGCACTGTGTTGATGGTGTAGAGGGATGGCTTTCCTGGCTTCTCCTTCTGGGCCTGTCACAAGGAAAGCACCATCTCAGGCAGTGGAGCCAGGAGCAGTGCTGGGTGAGCAGTTTCACACTGCCCTGTGCCCCCCTGGCCTGAAGGGCAGCCAGGGCCTGTCATGAGATGTGGGGCTGCTCCTAACAGGCAGTGAAAGTCAGGTCAGAGCAGGGAAAGGGACAAGCAGAGGGAGCAGACCCACTGCTTTAGCCATGATAAGGACACCAAAGCCACCAGCACGGAGGGGATGTGGAGCATGGGCAGGAAGGGCAGCACACAGAGGGGCCTGGCCAGGGGCAGGGAGGTGCCACCATGGGACAGATCACTCCAGGACCCCCAGCTGTGCCTCCTGCTCCATCCTGGGAGCGTGGCCAGGCAGGGAGCAGCCACTCACCGCCAGGCTCCTGCCGAGGAAGGCCTGCAGGAAGGCGGACTTGCCTGCGCCCCGCGCTCCCAGCACCTTGCACAGGAACACATTCCTCTGGGTCTGCCCCTTCTCCAGGTCAATCCTCTTCTCCCGGGTCACTGGCAGCAGAGAGGGTGGTGAGAGCCAGGAGGGACCCAAGCTGTGACAGAAGGGGAGGGCATGGCTGTACCTGTGAGGGCTTGGGTCTGGGAGTCCTGCTCTGAGAGGATGGGGTAGCCCAGGTAGCCCAGGCACTCCAGGCAGTGCCGCACGTCCAGGTAAGCCACGAGCCTGCAGAGACAGAGCACAGCAGCAGGGTCAGCAAGGGCTCAGGGAGGTGACCAAGGGCCAGGGAGAGGGACTGAGCTTACGTCCACTGGCAGAGGAATCCATGCAGGGAAAGCAGGCCTTTATCAGTGGTGCATACCGTGTTGTAGAGCTCGGGGCCCCAGGGCACGCAGGGGAACACGCTGAAGAAGTTCTGCAGCTCTGTGTGCGACAGGGCTCCGTCCTGGTCCTGCCAAAACACACAGGGGAGTCACCAGGGGAGGCAGGGCTCAGCCCGTGCCCACAGGGGGCCCTGCCACACGGGCCACCTCCCTGCTGTGCACGGTCACAGGGATCTGTCAATGGCAGGGATCGATCGGCCGCAGCGAGGCCGGAGCTGGGCGAGCTCAGAGCCTCAGGGACTCCAGCACTGCACAGCAGCAAACAGGCCATGGGATTGCAGCTGCAGCCAGGCAGGATTGTCCATGCCCACCCCACAGCCCTGAGCTGCTGTTGCTGGCACTCCTGGAGCCAGTTGTCCCACAGCAGCCGGCACCAGGCCAGCCTGACCTTCCACAGCACTCAGGCTGCTGGGCCTGAAGGGGACCTGCTGGCACCTGGGCACACAGGGATGAGCATCCATTCAGTTCTGCCATTCCCCATGGCCACAGAGCTGATCTGGGCACACAGGGATTAGTGTCCACTCTCTGCTGCCATTCCTGAGTCACTCCCTGTTGTCACAGAGCTGCCATTCCCCAGATGCACATCAACATTTGAATAGCCAGTCCGAGCAGGTGCATGCTGATCCAGTACATCCCTTTCTCCCACTCTCCAAGAGCCTGGGTTTGGCACAAATGTGTTGCTTTCTCTCCCTCTCTCCAGCCTGGCAGCCCTCCACCAGGCTGGCAGATGCTGGTGTTTGGTCCATGGCTGCTGGCCAGCAGCTGTGCCCGCTTCCCTGCCTGCCTCCCTGCCCAATTCCCTGCCACTCTGTCCAATTCCCTGTTTCCTTGTTCAATTCCCTGCCTCCCGGCCCAATTCCCTACCTCCCTGCCCAACTCCCTCCTTCCCTGCCCAATTCCCTGCCACCCTGTCCAATCCTCTGCCTCCCTGCCCAATTCCCTGCCTCCCTGCCTGCTGCAGCCAGGCACCACAAGGGCCATGCCAGCTTGATGCCAACTCAGACCCAGTCCCTCCAAGTCCAAAGTGTCCTTTGGCCCAGAGTAGTGACCAAACCCCACGTCCCTGACAGACCATCATACCACCTAGAGCTTGCTGTGGCATCTTCCTGCTCTCTGGCACAGGGGGGTGGTTAGGGGAGAAGCTGTGCCCAGGTGTGCAGGCCCAGCAGAGCATTCCCTGCCCTGCTGCCCACCTTGTCGTGCTTCTCAAAGAGCCTCTGCAGGAATTGGTATCCCAAGTGGTTGAGCTCTGTGGAGCAGCCAGGGGGCACACGGATCCTGTTGGGAAAATCATGGAATTATTTAGGTTGGAAAAGCCCTCTCTGATTGAATCCAACTGTTCCAACACTGTCAAAACTACCATTGACCCATGTCCCCAAGTGCCACATCTACATGGCTTTAAATCCCTCCAGTGATGGGGGGACTCCACCACTGCCCTGGGCAGCTGTGCCAGTGCCTTTCAGCAGAGAAGTTTTTCCTACCACCCAACCTAAACCTAGGAAAACCCAGGAAATTTTTGCTACTACCCAACCTAACTCTTTCAGCAGAGAAATTTTTCCTACTACCCAACCTAAAACCTCCCTTTTATCTCTCATATCTTATTCTGCAGCTCAGACACCCAAATGAACCTCCTCAAGCCCTGAATGAAGGGCAGTGTGTGAGCACATCTCACCCAGGGGAAACAGCTCCCCACTTCCTCCCTGCTCAAGGTCAGCTGTTGCCTCCAGGCCTGGCTATTCCTTGACACAGCCCCTTTATTTAGTGGAGAATTCCCTGAGGATGCACAGTGGCCTTTCCCTGGCACATCCCAGGCAGCCCAGGAGATGCTGTGCCCTCGCTTTGCCTCATGCCCAGGGCTTCAGCAGTGCCCTGGGTGCCATCCACCAGCGTGTCCCTGTCACCTCCCTGCAGCCTGCTCTCTGGGAAGAGGAGGAGGCAGCTCCCAAGCCAAACCCTGCCATTGCTGCCAGCTCCCCATCTCCAGAGTGGCAGGGAGCAGAGAGGAGACAGCAGCAGCACAATGCGCCGCGAGGGCTGTGCTGACAGCTCACTGCTCCCGACAGAGCCGTTCTGCCTCGCTCAGCCAGGCACACAGCAGCCTCCAAGAACCCCTTGCTGATGTCAAGGCAAGTCTGCATTTCACTCCCCACCTTGCTGTCTGCCTAAATCAGCAGCCCCAGGCGTGCTGTGTTTGTCCCTGAGCCCACGTGTCAGCTCCTGCCCCAGGGGAAGGTGAGCACTGTGAACCTGACCCCAGAGCAGCTCCTGGGCTGCAGGAAGGATGCAGTCAGGGTGCTGGGGATGCTGAGCCATGCACCAGGGGCATGTGGCCCCTGGCCAGCCCTGGGCACTCACTGTGGGTACAGGTAATCATCTGTCAGCTCCAGCTCGTCGTCGTAGCCGAAGCGGCGCAGGATGGTCCAGGTGGTCTCGTGCCGGCCCCTCTGGATGAAGAGGGTGTTGAGGAAGAGGAAGCCTGCAGGAGAGATCAGGGGGCTCAGCCACAGGGGAGTCAGCTCAGGCTCAGGGCTCAGTGGAGTCAGCTCAGGCTCAGGGGTGCACTCCTCAGCCATGCTTCCCCTGGGAAAACACTGCAGGGTCAGAGAGCCACAGCAGGCTTGCTTTAACAACAGGGACTAACTAGGCCTGGACTAACTAGGCCAGGAGGCTCAGGGCAAGGGCAGCCCCTGGGATGTGCTGAGGGAGGTGGATTCCCCCTGTCCTGGGGAGGAGCAGGGAGCCCCTGGGCTGTTACCGTTCAAGGTGAGGCCGTTGTCCTGCACCCCGTCCGTCGTGTTCTTCCACACAACCATCTTCACATCCTCCAGGGCCTGGGGAGCCAGGGGGTTTCCAAAACAAGACTTCTGCCTCCCAAGAGAATGAAGACCATTGTCAGGAAAGCACTCAGAGAGCACAATCCTGTCTCACCAGGTTCCCTCTCCCCTGGCAAGGATTGGGGTTTCAGGGAGGGAAAATCCACCCAGCTCACAGAATTCTGTCTTATGCCTTGACCAAACCCCTATTCTTCAGCATCCCAATAATTCAGGGCTCTCAGCACCTCCAGGGCCTCCTGGTCTTCCCATGGCAGAGCAAACTCAGCCCAAGCTTAGGAAGATGGAGCCCCACATGCTCAGAGATGCACCCAGCTGTGCCACAGAAACACCAAACAGGAATGGGATGGCTGTGCCAGGAGGGGCAGCTCCCCTGCTGGAAAGGGAATCCCAGGCACTGGGGAACTCCTCAGCTCTGCAGCCACCCTACCTGGAAGTAGTTGAGCTCATCATCACTGAGAATCTGGTTGTTGTCCTGGTCTGAGAGGTTGAAGATGCGGGTCAGCGCTCGAGCACAGGCGGGTCTGAGCTGCAAGGACCAACCATGGCGACAATGACAGGGCCAGCCACAGCCTGGCCCTTCCTCCTGCAGCCCCACACACAGAAGGCTCCCTTCCTGCACTTCTAGGCCAGTCCCACAGCCTCCTTGGAGGTGGGAATCATGGAATCATTAAGGGTGGAAAACTGCCCCAAGATCTGAGTCCAGCTGTTCCCCCAGCACTGCCAAGGCCACCATTAGCCCACGCCCCCAAGTGCCACATCCAGAGAGCTTTAAAATCCTTCCAGGAATGCTGACTCCACCACTCCATCTGTGCCTGTGCCTGATCACCTTTACCATGAAGAAATTTTTCCTAATATCCCATCTAGAGTCAGAGAGGACAATCCATGGGGAATTGTTCTTCTTGACCCTTCCCTCCACAACCAACACACAGCCTGGAGCATGAGGGCTTCTCCCCCAGCACACCCAAGTCCCTGCAGATGTACTGAGCACAGGAGATGGGCACTGCTCCCTTGGCCTGTCAGTGCCAGCCCAAACCCTCCACCGGCATTCCAAAACCTCCAGCCCAGAGCAGTGTGAGGGAAGGAGACTCCCCCAGGAGCCCACCTGCTTCTCCTCTGGGTCGTAGAGCGGGGCAGTGGGGTGCAGCACAGCTTTCTGGGCATAGTAGAAGAGCTCAGAGATGTTCTTGAGGTTCTTGGCAGAGCACTGGGGATTCAGAAGAAGAGAGAGGATGATACAATCTCCCCCAGCCAGACTAGCTGTGCCTCAAAGCCCAGAGCAACATTTGTCCACCATGAGGAAAAATCCTAAGGGACAAAACCTCTGGCTTTGCTGTGCCCATTCCACAGCCCCAGAACCAACTCTAGTGGAGCTCCAACTAGAGAGCCACAGAGGGCAGACACAGAAAGCTGCTCCTTGGCAAGGGGTTAAAGGACAGAAAGGCCAAAGGACAGGCTCTCAACCCCTGGACTTGTGCAGAGAACACCATCAGGGCAGCTCTCCAGGGGCACAGAGGCTCCCTGACTATCACCAAACCAGCATTCCCACCCCTCAGGGAGGCCCTGCACACCCCCCAGCTCCCTCACCTCCACACAGGTCTCAATCTCCGAGAATTGGTTCATGATGGGCAGGATGACCTCCATGGAGCTTCCCACCTGCAGGTCAGACTTGTTTCCCACTAAAATAATGGGGATTCTAGGAGAAGACACAGAGCACAAGTGAGGCCAGCCCTCCCTGCACTGTCCCAGCCATTGGCGCTCCCATGGGCAGGTCAGGGAAGCCCCAGCTCTCCTCTGCAAGGTCCAGAGCAGCTTTCCTGCCTCCCACTGCCGGGAACATCCATCTGGAGAAACAGACTGCCTGATCCTGCTTATGCTTTCACCCAGCAACAATATGCTCAGGAGCCTTTAATCCAGCACAGCAGCCTTCTGCCCAAGAGATCCACACACAAACTAAAGCTTCTGTGCTCCCACACCCCCCTGGCAGCCTCCTCTCCCTGCCTGGCTGAGATGAGATGAAGGGGGGAGAAGGATCCCTCCTCAGTGACCCCCTGCCTCAATTGGATCTCTGGTGGAGGAAAGTGCCCCTGTGCTTCTGCTCTAAGTGGTCTGGCCACAAACCACAGTCCTGGAATGGTTTTGGTTGGGAGGGACCTTAAAGTTCATCCCATCCCACCCCCTGCCATAGGCAGGGACACCCCCATTAGACCATGGCTCCCATTCAACCCAGCCTGGATCAAAACACAAAGCTGGTTTGCTCTCAGTATCCTCAGAAAGATGTGAGGATGGTGGGCACCCCACACTCCCCAGAATGCCCCAATTCTGCACCCCAGATCACACCCCACACGGTACCTGGATCCCTTTTCCAGTCCCCCGTTCACCATGGGGATCCACTTTGTGCGAATCTGGAAGGTGAGCAGAGGGAAAGGGCTGTGAGCACAGCTGGGCAGGGAGAGCAGCTCCAGGCAGGCAGGAACACTCCCTGCAGCCATCTGCTCCCCAGCATCCCCTCACACCAGCAGGCAGAGCAGCCCCAGGGATGCTGGGTGCCAGCACCAGGATGCAACAAGCCTGCTGTCCTGCTGTGAGTAACAACCTCGGGTGGGACTCAGCTTCTGCTAGCAGGAATCTCTGACCCAAAATCCCACAGAGCCAGGGACCATCAGAACGTGCCCACACCACAGGGCAGCACGGAAACCCCAGCACTGGGAACCCCCTCTGGTCCTGCTGCTGGAGCAGGGCCGTGGCAGGGACCCATTACCTTGTCAATGGTGGCCTCCTTGGTGACATCGTACACCATGCAGACCACGTTGGCCTGCAAGAGAAACAGGAGAGGGTGGTGAAGGGGTCCCTGCCACACTTGTGGCAGCAGGAAATGCCAGGGAAGCAGGGAATGCCATGGAAGCAGGGAACGCCAGGGCAGAGGGAATGCCATGGGAGCAGGGAATGCCAGGGGAGCAGGGAATGCCATGGAAGCAGGGAATGCCAGGGCAGCAGGGAATGCCAGGGCAGCAGGGAATGCCGCCTGAGCTGCCAGGGAAGTGCTGGGCCAAGCATATGTGAGCACGGACACGTACACAGCCCCCCGTGCCCTCAGCACGAGCCCTCGAGCTCCTGAGAGCAGCTCCTGTGCCTCAGCAGCTCCTGGGAGCAGTTCCTCTGCCTCAGGAGCTGCTGCTCCCACGCCTGCTGGCCCAGACCCCCCTCCCACAGCAGCCGTGTCCCAGCCCTCCTCCCCTCCTGACCCCTGCAGACAGGGCCAGCACCGAGGCTTTATCGGAAGCAGACAGGAGGGATCACTGGTCCTTTCAGCAGAGAGTTTAATGCTAATCCGAGGACACACAAGGGTTTAGGCAGGATTTCCTGGAGCCATTTAAAGCTTCTGTGTACTCCTGCTGTCTGGGTGGAGGGAGCAGGACCCTCGTGCCCACCTTCTCGACTGTTAGCCACCAGGGTTGGGAGATTAAACAGCTTTGCTCACGTGAGAGAGATGGTTTTATTATCCATAATTAAAAGGTCCCCATGTCTGCAGAGTCAAGGTTAATCCCAGGGCAAAGAGCAGCTGGGTCCAACCCAGCCAGACAACTTAATTATTCCTCCATGGCTGCTCTGAGGGCTCCCTATCCCTCCCTGCCCAGTGCTCGCCAGCAGCTCCAGCTCCCAAATTAACTCCTCTGTGCCACTGCTTCTTCAGGCAGCCACAGGGATCTAAGCAGGGGTCTTGCCCAAACCCAGCAACTTCTCCTCCCTCTTCTGAGTCTGTGGGGAATATCCTGAGGCTGAGAGCACAGTGTTTGCTCCTGCTGCCTGCTCCTCCTGTGGGCAGCGAGCTGCCCCTCCACTCGCCTTCTGGAGGCTCCCTGGAGGCCCTGGACAAACCACACACAACAGCTTACAAGACAGAGCAGGATTAAACAAGCCTCTAAACAAACCAGGAGCATTAATCCATGGATAACCAACTGCCTGTGCCTCTCTGGGTGGCTAACAGGGAGGGGAGGGGAGCAGCCATGTGTCCCCTGGGGACCACAGCCTCCTGTGCCCATCCCGGCCAGCCCTGCTCACCTTGGCGATCTCCTCCTGCAGCTCCTCCTCCGTCTGCTCCGACTCTGCAATGGGAATGAAGCCATCACCACCTGCCCAGGCAGGGCCACCCCGTCCCAACACCCTCAGGCAGGCAGGGAAGGGGAGAAGCCAGGCAGGACAGGGCCCTACCTGAGTAGTCTACTATGTGTGTGGGGACCTTCTCAGGGGTGACATCGGCCGGGATGGTGATCTCCTCCGCCCGGGGGGGCACCTGCAAAGGCAGCACACCCCCTCCAGCCAAGCAGCACAGGTGACAGGGGACTTCAGGGCCTTGGCCACTGCCAGGGCAGGATGAGCTGCGGATCACAGGTCATTCTTGGCCCACCAGGCTGCAGCAGCCTCCTGCACTCCAGCCCTGGCACAGGCAGGGTCCTCCAGGTGGAACTTCCACCTGCCAACTCCCACCAAGCTCCTGATCCTGGTGGAGATAAACCCTGGACACTCCCTGGGCTCCTCTGGTTGTATGGGCTGGGCTGGGAGCAGAGAAGGGGTGCAGGGCTGGTCCCCCCAAACCCTTGAGCTGATGCTGCCCAGCACAACACCATGGAGGGCACATATGGGCAGGAGGAGAAACCACCTGAAGCTCAGAGAAAATGTGCCTGGACAAACTGATCCCATTTCCCTACCCAAACTATGCTGGGGCAGCCAGCTGTTGAGGGGCACATCTGGCTGGATGCTACTGCTCAGAGCACCAAACCCATCTCCAGAGGGTGCAGCGGGCAGGGAATGGGGCTGCCCCTTCCAAGGGCTTTGTGGTGGTGCCAGCCCTGCTGTGCTGGTGACAGAGACCCCCAGCAGTAGCAAGGGGGTCCCTGGGAGGCACTAACACCCTCCTCAGGGCAGAGAGAGCTCCAAGTCAGGATCAGCCCCCAAGTGGGAACCAGAGCACAAAGTGAGGAAAACACGACCTCAGCTGGAGCTCCCTGCGGTTCTCACTGAGCTCACCCGAACCAGCCCCGTGGCTGCCACAGCCCCGGGAGCTGCGAGCACCTCCCAGACAGCCCCACCTCCAGCGGGGACACTGGGGACAGAGCCGTCCTACCCAGCCCCATCTCCAGCAGGGACACTGAGGACAGAGCCATCCCACCCAGCCCCATCTCCAGCGGGGACACTGGGGACAGAGCCATCCCACCCAGCCCCATCTCCAGCGGGGACATTGGGGACAGAGCCGTCCCACCCAGCCCCATCTCCAGCGGGGACATTGGGGACAGAGCCGTCCCACCCAGCCCCATCTCCAGCGGGGACACTGGGGACAGAGCCGTCCCACCCAGCCCCATCTCCAGCGGGGACATTGGGGACAGAGCTGTCCCACCCACCTCCATCTCCAGCGGGACACTGGGGACAGAGCTGTCCCACCCAGCGAGGGGCCCGGGCTGGGGCCGTGCGCGTCCCCTCCCCACTCACCTCTTCAGGAAACTCCTCTCCCACCAGAGCCATGATCAGGGACGTCTTCCCCACCTGGGCTAGGAAATAAAGGGAGGACGTTGACATGGGCACCGGCACGGCAGAGCTTGAGGGGGCCAGCGGCAGGTGGGAGCCCCAGCCGGAGCCGGGATCGCCCGGTGACAATGACGGGCCCGGTCTGTCCCTTGGTCCCGCCTGTGACGGGGGGTCCGCCTGGGCCCCCTGCCCGCCCTCGCCCCTCCCTTGCAGGAGAACCCTCTCCCCCGGGCTCCCCGTGCCCCCTGCCCCTTGCCGGGCCGGAGGAGCCTCCCCCGGCCCCGTGCCCGTGCCCCCCTCACCCTCCCCGAGCAGGAGGATCCGCACGTCCCGCTTCATGGCGGCGCCGCCGCCTGCCCGGCCCGGCCCGGCCCCCCCCGCTTCCGGCCCCCCCCGCTTCCGGCCGCAGCACCGAGCGGCGGCGCAGAGCAGCGCGGCGCCCCCTGGCGGCGCCAGCATACACAGACCTCCAGCCTTGGTCTTTGGATGGTTTATTAACGAAAACAAAACGTTCAACGGCAACAAACGGCCAACGGGGCCGTGACACACATTCCGGGCCCGGGCGGGGCCGCGGGCGGGCCAGCCGCTGCAGCCGTGGGACGGCGGTTCGGGCCTGGCTGCGGCCGGAGCCGGGGCCTGTCCTGCTGGAGAAGCGTCGCTGGTGCGGGGCCGGCCCGGCTCAGGCGCCCGGCAGCTCCCATACGAGCACGGAGCTGTGCGAGGCCGTGAGGAGGCGGCGGCCCGAGGGCGCGAAGCGGCAGAGGTGCACGGTGTCGTCATGGCCGGCGTAGTCCTGCGGGGTCCCGGCGGGGCAGGGCTGCAGCCGCAGCAGCCGGTCTGGGGAGAGCAGCGGCTCAGGGCTGTGCCAGGAGCCTCCCACTGGCCCCCATCGCCCTCCAGACCATTCCCTGTCACTCACAGACCTTCTCCATCTCTAGTCACTTCCAGAAGCACCATTTGTGGTCACCTCCCACCATGTTTTGTTCTGGCCAGAAGTACCATTCCCCCTCAGCCTCCCTCCCTGTCCTCTCCCAGCCAGAAGCCCTATTTCCAGTCACCCCCAGCTCCTCTCCCTGTCCTCTCCCAGCCAGAAGCACCATTCCCAGTCACTCCCAGCCCTTGTCCTTTCCCAGCCAGAAGCCCTACTTCCAGTCACCCCCAGCCCCTGTCCCTGTCCTTTCCCAGACATAAGCACCACTCCCAGTCACTCCCCAGGCTCCCTCGCCGCTGCTGAGCTGGAAGTTGAGCCGCTGAGCTGAGTGACACAGGACAGACAGACCCAAACTGCTCCACGAGCGAGGTGCCCTTGCCAGGAGCAGGGTCCTGTCTCTCCCCATGCTGTGGGAAGGTCCCTGCTGCCTCAGAGGCTGCAGAAATGGAGACAGCCCAGAACCCCGGGAAGTCACTCCAGCGACAAACCCTGCCTGTGGCCAAGCAGGATTGACCTCATGCATCTCATTTCTGACCCAGGAGCCTCCTGGAGGTTTCTCCTCTCCCTGGACTGTAGCTCCCAGGTTTGAGGACATGTCCCTTGTTTGGAGGAATGAGGATGCTCATTTCCTCTGTGGCAGAAGAAGGAGGGGCCCAGGCACCCCCAGGACTCACCACCGAAGCCGAGGGCTATGAAAGGTGCAGCTGGGGACAGGCTGAGGGACGTGGCAAAGGCTGGCAGGGAGATCTTCCTGAGCACCTGCAGGCCAGCAAGAGCAACACAGGCAGCTCAAAGGGGAGGGCAGAGCCATAGCTGTGCAGCCACAGCCCTACAGAGGGTGATGGGGAGGCTGGGGGTGCACAGCTCCTAAAGCTGCCCCAGGCACCCAGGAGATGATGCAGAGAGTGTTGATGCTCTGGAAGCAGCCACCTTCCCCTCCCCGGGATCAGGGACTGGCTGCCTGCCTGGACGCAGCCTGAGGCAGGGGCAGGGTTCTGCTGCTCACCTGGACCACACTCGGGAGATTCCAAGATGAAAATCTGTTCCCTGAGCAGCTGCCTGAGCCCACCCCACCCCTGGGACTGAGGGTAACACACAGGGCAGCCCCCCCTGCTTGTGGCAGGGGACAGGTACCTGTTTCTTCCTCAGGCTGTAGAACAAAGCTTCCTTCTGCAGCCCAAAGCCCACGTAGACCAGGACACCGTGTTCCCAAGGGCAGAATGCAGCCAGGCTGGGAGGGAGGCTGTCCAGACCCTGGAGAGGGAAACCAAAGGCAACAAAAGTGAGGCTGGATTCTCTTATTTGGATCAGTGAGAGATAAAAGGAGAGCACAGAGGGACCCCAGGGCTGTGAGGGTTTGAGCAGTGGGATATGAGTATGGTGGAGGCTGCTTCCTCCCTCTTGCGTTCCCATCTCTGGCTCAGGGAAAGCGAGGAACAACCACACCCTGGCATGGAAACCTGAAGCAAATCGTTTAGTGTTGTAGGAGCAGGTCCCTTGAGGCTCCAACAGGTTGAATTCCCACTGAGATATTACTGCTGCATGGGCTTGAAGCTGGGATATGGTTATGGATCAGCTTAACACAAGAAAACAGGGCCCAGGAGGCAGATCTTGAGCAGGGGATGCAAGATCAAACCTTCATGCTGGAGGGAGAGCTGAAGTGAGCTTCTTTCCAGAGCAAATCCATCTTTTTGGAGATGAACAGAAGAATTATTGACAGAGCCCAGGTGCTGTATGGACCCAGGCTGAGGCACTGCCTCTTTCCCCCCCAAAACCACCCAGCTCCCCTCTGTCTGCCAATGTCACCTGCACCAGGGACCATCTTCATCCTCTCCAACACAACACATCCTCCTGCTTTTCCAGCAGGTGTCCTGCTGCCCAAACCCTGCCCCTGGGCTGGAGCCAGAGGCCTCTGCCAAGCAGCAGGGACACACAGGGCTAAGTACTTGGCTCTGGGAAGCCATCACCATGCTCCTGGCTCAGAGCACTCACACTCAGGACTGTCAGAATTAGCAGCACGCTCATAATTAGCTCTCCCTCCTGCTCACTGCTGCCTGGGCTCTGCTTTGCTGCCACAGGGCTCTCAGCTCTTTGCGGGTGCAGTTTAGGGGTCCCATGCTTAAAGTCAGTGCTGCCTGCTACACTTGTCAGTCTGGCCCTGCTACACTTTACTTCCATACCCAAAAAGGTGCATTGGCAAGACGCTCTGTGAGCTGGACTAACAGAGATGCCTTCCCTAAGCACACACTGACTCAGAGCCCTGTGCCTCCCTCCTCCATTACTGCTGGTGCCCAGCCTCACACCAGGAGCAGGCAGGGTCTGGCAGGTGCCACACTCACCTCAGGGCCAGCAGGGGCTGGGAAGCTGAGCCAGTCGAGGAGCTCACACTTGTCCTGGAGCCAGTCGGAGCCCCAGACGCTGACGCGGCGGTCGGAGCTGGCGGCCAGCCACAGCTCCCCTCCTTCCACCCCGAGCTCGTGGTACTGGGGGCAGAAACACAGCCCTGTCCTGGTGAGCTCCCCTCCTTCTCACGGTACTGGGGGCAGAATCACAGCCTTGTCCTGGTGAGCTCCCCTCCTTCTCATGGTACTGGGGGCAGAAACACAGCCCTGTCCTGGTGAGCTCCCCTCCTTCCTCCCCTCCTTCTCATGGTACTGGGGGCAGAAACACAGCCCTGTCCTGGTGAGCTCCCCTCCTTCCTCCCCTCCTTCTCATGGTACTGGGAGCTGAAACACAGCCCTGTCCTTCTGGGGGCACAGAGGCTTTGAAGGAGGGGGACAGTCAAGAGTGGGACAGGAACTCATGGGAACATGGGGCTTGTGTTTAGGGGATGAAAGCTGGGATTAACTTCTGTTTGTGGCTGCTCCATCCCTGGAAGTGTCCAAAGCCAGGCTGGACAGGGCTTGGAGCAACCTGGCCTAGTGAGAGGGGTCCCTGCCCATGGCAGGGTGTTGCCACATTTCCCTTCACAGAGAAAAGCAAGGCACAATTCTTCCCAAGGATTTCTGAGATTCACATTCTCTGAACCTCAGAGAAAGGGAAAACACAATTCTTATCACTTGCTGTGCCTGTGTTTGTGCCAAAGTAAAATGCAATATGGAGATTGTTTATCCAAAGTGAGGATGTTTTCTTTCCTTGGCCTATCAGGGCCAAGAGTGTGTGTGTGGGGACTGCTGGGTGACAGTCACAAGATTCAGTGCAGTGTGAGCAGGTGTGTGCAGAGTGAGTGCTTGGCAGATTCAGTTTAGATGAAATGTATATAGTATAGCATAATAAAGTAATTAGTTAACCTTCTGATATCAATGCAGTCAGATGCATCATTCTCTCCCCTTTGTCAGAGTCACCTTTGATTTACAATAGCAGGGGGCTGGAAATTGATGATTTTTAAGGCCCTTTCCAACCCAAATCCTGGTCTGAACAACTCAGTTCTCTTCATTGGGACACCCTGTGGATCTGCACATCTCCTAGGGGAGTTATTTCCAATACCATGTGTCTCCTAACAATGTCTTTCACCTCAAATCAAGGAGGATTTCCTCAGTCTCAGATTACCAGGAAACACAGCCCTGCAGTGTAGATGATCTTAAAGCCTGAGAGCTTAGGGGAAAACTATTCCCACTTCTGCTGTGCAAAGGGAAAAAATCTCCATGAAGAGGAGGCAAAGGAGGTACTCAAACCATCCCACTGCTTCACAGCCAAGTCTTCCCAGCTCCACAGAGGAGCCAAAACCCCTTTTTGGGGGGCACAGGGTCTGCAGGCTGACAGCCTGGGCTGCCCCTGAGGGATGCTGCTCTCCAAGAGCCTGTGGCACAGATTCATGTCACACCCATGTGCAGGGTGTCAACAAGTGCCACCAAAGGTCCCCCTGCAGGCACAGCCTCAACTCAAGCTGCACCTGCAATACATGGAGATTTATTCCACTGAATATATCCCTGGAAAAACTGATCAGAAATTGCTGGAGGGGATGGAGGAAGATTTCCAAAGAGGAAAAGCAAGGGACATCAAAGCAAACTTGCTGACCAGAGCTGTGCAGTGACAGATGGGGACTGGGGTCACTCCTGAGGTCTCACCTGCTTCCTGGTGCACTGGAGAACAGTGATGGGGGAGCCTTTGTGGTCAGCCAGGACATGGATGGTCATGCCAGTGCGAGGGCTGCTGACAGCCACTATCCCATCCTTGCCCCCTGATAGGATCATTTCCCCTGGTGGCAGAGGAGAGGAAAGAATGGGACACTTCTTGTAGGAGGACAAAAAGAGGAGAAAGGTCCAGAGCTATGGGATGCCAGTGTCCTGAAACACTGTGAAAGGCTGGAAACATCCCAGTCAAGGGCTGGGTATGATGAGATGTCTCAGAGACACCCACTACACCTCAACACTGAAGAAGAGCCACAGTAGATCATAAAACAAAGGTGTTTGTTGTACCCAACCCCCTTGGCTAT